ACGCTCTCACACACACACACACACACTCTTTCTCACACACACACACACACACACACAGGCATGGTCACTTTTCCTCCTCCCCAGCAGCATCCTGCTCCTCATCTTCCTCCTCCCATGTTCTATGCGTGACCGATGCACTCCCGTGTGGAGATGAGCCTCCTTCGGCTTTATCCAGGGCTTTTCCCACCGGCCCCGCGATGGCCCGCCACAGCAGCTCGGGGTAGGGCATGCGGGCCCCCGTCAGCAGCGGGACACCTTGCATGGGGCCGCCGTGGCCCTCGAGGAGCTGTGCGGCCGCCGCGACGCTCATGTGATCCAGATGCTGCTGGCCGAAGGATTCAGACGGCGGGGATCCGCTGGGATCAGTCCCGCGGCGCGGGCGGCGCGTGCGGAGCTCCAGGCAGCTGTGGCCCTTCCTGTGGCGCTGCAGATGGTCCTCGCGGGCGAAAGCCTTGTGGCACAGCGGACACTCGAAGGGCCGGTCCCCGCTGTGCAGCGAGAGATGGTTCTTCAGGTCGTAGGAGTGCAGGAACCGCGCGGGGCAGCTGGGACACGGATACGGCCGCTCGCCCGTGTGCTTCCGCATGTGGATCTTCAGCTTGTCGTTCCTGAGATGATAAATGAGAGAGATTAACTGCACCGTTCTAGCAGGTGCAAGTACACGACTCACTCCTGAAACTGTGACTCATAACCAACTTTATTTATACCCACTAAACCTGAAGTGTGTTTTGTTAAATTCATGTTAAAATACCCAGTGATTAAAGCATTCAATAAAAGCAATGGTTCACGACACGCACTAAACCTAAACAACGAAGTCTTCAAAGTTGGGTAAACTTCTATAATGGTGAACGGAAACTACAAATACGACTATAATTTTAGCGTTCTCATTTTCTCCAATAGCGAAAGATCAAATTCTTGATGGCTTTTCTACTGCTTTAGAAGAATCGAGAGTGTATTAGATGCTCTAGTTTTCCGTACTTTAATGCCAAGGTAATATAACAAAGTATAGTGTTATAAATGCCTGCCGAGCTCAAACAGTAGAGTAGTTTGATTCCCAAAGTTAAGAACTGATAAAATGTAGTGTAAGTTGCTTTGGATAAAATTGTCAGTCAGATGCATAAAACCTTGGTAGATTGTGAACGCATCGTACCGTGTGAAGCGGACGCCGCAGGCCGAGCACTGGAACGGTTTCTCTCCCGTGTGTGTTCTCATGTGCCGCGGCAGCTTTCCCGCCCCGTGGATGATCTTCTGACAGACGGGACACTGCTGAGGCGTCTGAGACTTCCTCTTCCTGCCGCTTCCGGCCGATGCTCCGCCCCCCTGTGATTGGCTGTGGTGGGGTGTGGCCCGCCCCTGCGCTCCGGACTCCTCCTCCTCTGAGGGCGTGTCTTCGGGTCTGTGTGGGATCGGGGTGAACTCCTGTGACCAGTGTGAGCTTCCGTTCACGAGGCGCCCCAGGTGGGAAGCGCGTGTGTCTCCGTCTTGTACCTCGGCAGGCGGCGGGTGTCCTTCTCGCCCTTGCGCCGGAAGCAGCTCGGGCGTCTCATCAGGACTCCGCCACACCGGCCTCACGGGAGACACGGCTCGGGTCACGGAGCATCGGTCCTGCTTGCGGCGGGATGGCAGCTGCTGGTTCGTTGGATTGTCGCCCGTCTCGCCCAAAATGTCTCGGCAGGCGTCAGCCACGCACTGGATCCCCAGCAGCTGCGCGCCCTTCAGGACCTCGCGCATGCCCGAGCTGCGGATGGTCAGCGTGGCGGTGTAGGCGAACTCCAGCAGCGCTGCCAGAGCGTCAGGAGACACACAGTCCAGCTGACAGACGCTGCAGCTGTCGCCTACGCCCTCGTCTCCATCCTCGCCCTCCTCCGCCCCGAACAGACGCCGGAAGTACAGGCTGACCGCGGCCATGACGGAGCGGTGCGTGGGGTAGCGTGCGCCGTGTGACGTCAGCGTGAGGTCGCAGAGCAGCCCGGTCCGCCGCTGGGCATTGAGACGAGACAGCAGCTCGTTGCTGTGCTCCGGGAAGGGGATCCCGATTAGACCGTCCTCTCCTGGAGACATCGCCACCTGCAGGCAGAGAGAGACACGTGTGAATACTGTCGGCACAGAACGCTGCATGCTGCTTCAAAACACATTTCACAAGTTGTCATAGTTGGGTAAACTTCTATAGAGACAGAGCGCATTTAGGCCACGCCCACACCGAGAGGGGGGGCGGGCAATCCAACGCTCTCCATTGACTGTCTATTGCGGGAAGCTGCCTCCTTGTCATTTCTGACTTATAACAAAAAACAGAGCAATGCCTAAAAGCTGCTGTGTGAGAAGGTGTACAGTAAACAAGCTAAAAAACCCAGAACTAGGTTTTTATAAGCGGTCGACCCAAAAAACGAGCGTTTAGGACACAAAAGTAGAGCGCAACGTGTCATATTACTCTGAGAACTGCACCCACTGGTGGGAAATGTAATCGGCGACAAAACCATTAATTATTTTTAACCATGTCAAAGGATTATTTCACCACCCTATGTGAATCTGA